TTAATGTAATTTACAAGTGAATTGTACAAGTAATGCGTGTGCAGATTAACGCGAGTGGGATTGTAGAGATGAAGAAGGATTATGTTTTGCCGCTCCCACTTTATCCGCGGAAACACTTTGAAGAAGGCTCTCCGAGAAAAAGGACAAACTTTCTTTTCGCACTGCATTCTTCATTATATTCTCTTTCTTTACTATCAGTAAAAGTTTAGTATAAATATCAAGATAAATATCTCTGGTGTAAAATAAATCGAGATGCGCGCGACTGCCCATCTGTCCCCGTGTTTTCCAGCGTTAATAATAAAATATTGACGTAAAGCGTGGAGATGTATACATACACAGGGCGTTTCAAAATTTTGCAAGCTTGTAGTATTTATTGAACCGAATAAAAAGCGTTTAATGAAAAATAAATCCGCTTAAAGAACGAGTATTCTGCTCCGCTATTAAAAATTGATTTATCGTTTGTAGAAACAAAATATTTTTTACAATTGATGTGATTATTTTATTATTTTAATATTTTAATTCGCTGTTTATCGTCTATAAAAGCAAGAAGTTTTCGACTGCAAGGGTATAAAATCATCTTATTATTTCAACACCTTAAGTTCAACTTTAGACGATTTAATAAATTGTGTCTCAATCCAAAATAGAATTCTATTTAAAATTCTATATGCTACGTATGTAACACAGAAAAAAAAATCAGAAAAAAAGACACTTATAAAATAAATGAAATATAAAATTCTAAAATATTCTATCCTGAAATATACAATTGTAATGCAAAATGAAAATTATTTAAAGTAGGTTTTAAAAGAAACGCATTATGCATCTTCCTTTCAATACATATTTGATATTATCCTTGTATCCATCAAATTTCAAACTTGTTTAAAAATTTATAACGTATATTTCGGACCAGTTGATAGTTGATAGTCTCTCAACAAGCAATATTTATGTATTAATATTTATACAATAATATTTACATGTTAAAGTATCAAACCATTTTAAATAATTTATAATTCATATCCTCTCAGAATTTAGGATAGACTTTTATGTATGATTTTATGTCGCATGTAAAATGTTTGTCAGAAAAAAAGATAATAAAATAAAGTATACATGGCAATATATACATATAAAATTAAGATCTGACGCAAATTAAAAATCGTTACAGTGGACTTTACAATATATTACAACAAATATGTTACTAAATAACCTTCATTATTATTATTTATATACTGCACACACACACACACACACACACACATACACACACACGCGCGCGCACAAATATGGATGAATAATTGTCACAGCAAAAAATAGCTATTTATATTAAAAGAACTGGTTTGCGGATCTATTTTGACTAATTGTAAGTACTTTTTATTCAGCTTAGCAAATATTGCAGACGAATATTGCAAAGCTATGACCCACTATCTGGAAACACTCTGTACACCTAAATTAAGATAGAGCAACGTCTATTAAGAGCTTGTGAAAATAATCGTTTAACAAGCCGAGTGAGAAATTGCCGCGGCGCGGTTCGCACGCAGGCGCAAAACGCGAGCATCTCCGTGCGCTTCTAGGGGTAGTTTCGATCGTCCGAGGGATGAACTATGCCGTGCTGCCGCCCGAGACGCCTCAACCTCGTGCGTTGCTCCTGTGCGATGCTGTCTGAAACGAGAACTTTCGCGCCGCCGTCGTTTCATGACAGTGACACGCCTGCGGAGCGTGTGGTGCCGATCGGTCGCGATTGCGTAATCGTTAATCGAGTGCCAGCCTTCGGCGACCGGGAGAGGGATCCCCACGGTCCGAAGAGGATTCTGTGATCGCGCATCGTCACCGGAGAGGATGTGCCGACCGTGGTCGAGACGAAATCAGCCGTTGGCTCTGTCAACGGCTAACTCGGACGGTTCTAAGATCGAGTCTGCGAGATTTCGTTGACGAACCTCGGTGACGATCATTCTCCTGCACTGCAAAATTGCTTCTCCTCGGGAAGCAATACACGTAAAGCAATACTGGCGCACGGATCGCGTCTGACAAGCTGCGCTCATCACCACTTTGCCCTACCGTCTCTCCTTATATCGACGATTGTAAATATCAAAGAAAAATGATAATAACGCGACGATGTTCTACAATAATGTTATTTGAGATGGATGCGGTGTTCGCCGAATCCGAGTGCAGGTAGATCGGATCCAGGTGAACTAGGCGTGCGCAATCCGAAGAAATTCTGAGACCGAGGGTCGATGATCAATCAATCATGAAGCAAATCGGTTGTCAATCAACGAAGTACAATCTAGAATAATTGCTAACAATCAAAATCGGCGCGTAATCTCGAGACGAGCTTTAGATCTCTATCTTATTAATACGAACGCCAAGACGACATCACTTATATTTATCCGCAAATTAAAATTACATTAGTAATGGATTTTCTCTCATCATGATGCATCAGGAATACTCATCGAGATTACGCCAGTTACAATCCCCCGACTTTACAATACTTGAAGAATAGCGCGTATCGATCAGAATGATCGGACACTCGATATTAAGGGACACATTTACGTGAGTTACGAGTTACGTAATACGCCTATCTGTAAATAGGCTACAGTAGACGTCCCCGAAGAGGACATGAAGGAGATGAAATCAAATCTGAGATTGCTGTTTGATTAGTAGAGCGAAGAAACACCCCCGATTGACAATGAATCTCAGCTCTTTTAGTCTAGTCTATAGTCTAGTCAACGAGACTGAACAACACTGTTGTAAAAGCTAAAATAAAGCGAGATAATTTTTATCAAAGGGAATAATCCATTGCCATTTAATAATACACCTGACGTACCAAAGCAAATAAAGTAAAGGGAAAAAGAGAGAGAGAGAGAGAGAGAGAGAGAGAGAGAGAGAGAGAGACACCAAAATACAATCGCATGTGCGCACGTGGTTTGTAATTGACAGAATTGGATTCATCTTAGTCATTAGAGAAGGCTCAAACAATGCAATCGTATCGGAGTTAACGAGGACTGACACGGCGTAAGTTGTGAGGAATTTTTTGCGAATCACCGATAACCATAGGTACAAAAACTGCGAGCGGCTGGAGGAGGCGAAGCCTCCCGCCGCACAAGCATTATCGTAAGTATTATAAGCCTTGCTGAAAATGTTTTATGTCTGCCATTTTATTTGTATATTATATTTTATATTTATTTATTTTTTTATATATAGTACAATTTATATATATATATCGTATTACAATTAATTTATTATGTTTTATATTTCATATAAAATATAATTAATATATAATTATAATAATTTTATGTAATAATCTTAAAAATTGTCCTGTATTTTGAAATAAAAGATGGATTGATATATTTTCTTATTATTTCTGTCTTTTATATATATTATTTTCATTTATCAATAAATTACGTTTTATAATCCATTTTAAATAATAAATATCACGTAAACAAAATCAAATTAATCATATATAACATAGTTTAAAAAAAAATTTAATATCCACGCACTCCCATAAACAAAAGCATCAATTACCTACATACGTATTAACTATATACATGTATTATGAGCTAAAATTAATTAAAAACTTCGACAAAGGTCCGTACCCACGCATAATTAAAGTTTCCACGATATAATATTATGGTGAGCTAACCATAACCAAACAGTTTTCAAACTATAATGTGATAATTTGTATACTCTTAATCCGATTAATACATCAACGTAATTCCCTCTTTCAGTCTTATAACTCAGCACGTTGATTAAGAAAATTAAAAAATGTAATTTATATTATTTCATAAAAAGAAAAAGAACTTAGAAGAAAAACATCTGAAGAATCTGTAATTAATAAAATCGGAGAGATTTCGAAACGATCTTATAATATTGCGATTATATTAAATTATATATAGATATATGAAATATATTTTGTCTATAGAGAAAATTTAATTATAATTTCTAATTAAAATATTTTA